TTCACTTCACAGTGATCACCTATAGTGCTGAGTATGCATTTTACTTCTCAAAGAGGGTCTCCAGGGCTGTCCTAACTAAGCATTCAAGTGAAAATAAGTCAACACACTCCACTGAGAGGTGCTGTCCTTTTTTGTCCCCAAGATTAAAAACATAAAACCCCTTCCCATTTATCATGTCCTGAAGAACCATAAATCCTTTACCCAAGACAAAGTTTCCTAAGCGTCACACTACATGTCTGTAACCACCTCTCTTTTAAGACCTCCAATATAAGCTAAGGCCAATAGAAATTCAAGAGATTATAAAAGACACAGAGAAGGCTTATGAATTCCTATTTAAAAACTTCTGGTGAGAAAAGAAAGGAATAAGACTGTAGTTAGCGCCTAGGCTATGGAGTCAGGCTGCCAAGGTTTGAATCCTAACTCTGACACTTATTAGCTGTCTAACTTTGGGCAAGTGACATATCTGTGCCTGTTCCTCGACTGTAAAATACAAGCAACATCACCTACCTCAGTATTGTTGAGAGGATTCAAGGAGATAATGCATGAAAAGCACCTGGCACGGGCTCTGGTCTCTAGTAAGTGCTCAACAGCTGGTAGCTACCAAGTCTATTGTTCTCCTTGGAGTCTATATTAATTTACCAACTTCAAGTCTTACACCAAGAGAGTATTATTAGGTCTTAGAAAATCCTTGATAGGAGGATTAGGATCGGACCCCAAGATCCAGAGTTAGCAACATACAACTCATGATACCGAAGTCAAAGGCTCTACCCCGTAGGGAAGAACATGGAGCAAGCGGTTCATAGTCTCAGAAAACATCTGTCAACTTGAGCAACCTGCACTGGTCAAAAGACAGAATGGAAAGGATAGTGCAGATGTACAATGAAAAATCCACTAACAGAAATTCACAGTAGTATCTGCACATTATGAAGGGTGGCACTTGTGCTAGACTTAGCTCAGTATGTTCTCAAATATTTTTCCCAATCTAGTCCTAAACTTTTCCTTTGAGTTAGTTATCACTCTTAATTAAGTAGAAACTATAACTAAAATATTGTGTTACAGAATGTCTTGCAAACAGTGACTGCTTGCCTTCCCCATGTTTCATCCCATTCCTCCTAGAAGGGGAATACGTCCTAGGGATGATTACAAGTGAGGGCACAACCCTGCCTTGGTCATTGTTAACCCTGGGCAATTATTCATCTCTCTGCAGTCAGTTTCCTCATCTGTGAAACAGGGGTAAGAGTAGTATGTGTCTACATCAAAAGGCCATAGATGGTGAGGTCTAAATGAGATAAAGCATGTTGAGCACTCAGCATAGGGGTATAGAAGAAGCCACCAATAAAGGTTCCACATTATTGTCATCATCCTTATTATTACATGTTACCAGATTTAAATGGTTAAGCATGACTTTCCCATGATTTGCAAAGCTCCTCATTGACCTTGGAATGCTTACTGACAGTCAGTGAAAGGAGTTAAGTGCTATTTTGTTCTTGATGTCAACTTGTAAAGTCTAAGTCTACAGGATAAATCAAAACCCATGTTTTTATACATCTCCTCAGTAGGAGTACTTTGAAGGTTAAAGAAGCCGTGTACCTTCTTGTACACAGAATCCGACATAAAGGTTCTCTTCTGGGGCCCATGGAGCAGGTACACATATAATTCAACTCTCATTTCTCTTAATTCTCCACATGGCACTGAATGGGCTGCACTGCCATCACCTCTGGACTTCTGTACCAGGAAGGGAGAGATGGCAAGTGACTTTGTGTTATGGGCTCCGTTTCATCCACAAACCTTGTGACCAGTCAGAACCAGGCATAATCCATAATCCAGGCACGCACATTCTTTCACAAACAGCGAATTAGAACTGTTTATCTAGGGCTGTTCAAGAAGGCTATCGATAAGTAGAGAAGTGAACTTTTGACAAGACTGCATTGCAAAACCTAACATGATTTCAATGTATAAACACAACGCTATTTTTTAAAAAAACCAAAAACTTGAATGAAATATAAGGATAGGGTAGCTCTTTAATAATCTAATAATACCTAAAGCTTACCTTATTTTTCATTCTGATATAAACATGCATACTCCTAAAAGTATAATGGTGTTGCACACTCCTGAGTATGCAAAACCAAAGAAACTTTCAGTACCTTTAGAACTGAGGTGCATGGAAAGTACTACTCAATGCAATTTAAGTGAAATGTGGTGGATAGCAAAACCTTCCTACATCGAAAAATAACTGTTTATATGCACAAGCTCTTTTAAAAACTAAAAATATCACCATTCTCTTAGTTTTCTCTCTTCTAATGCAGTAATTCCGAAAAAGAACTCTAAAGTATCTTAATATATACTCAATGGAATTCACTAATAATCCTTCACCAATAAATTTTTAATATTTAATGGTTATCTTTCAAAATGTACCAGAGAGCACTTTCACTGAAAAAGAGAATGAAAGTAGGGATAATGGCAAATAATAGATGGTGTCAACTCCAAACTGCTTTTCTGGAATAGTTATACCGGATAAAGAAACAAATGAAACCCTAGATTTTCATACCATCTTATCTAGAAAAAAATCATGGGCGATGAAGGAACAATTTATTTCTGGTAAGTGAATTTAGAAATATATCTAGATACAATACCCTAGAAGGATATATGTCAAGAACTGTAAGCGTAAAAGTGTAAATCACACACAGCTAATATCATACAGTTTCAAAAAACAATTTCTGTGCAAAGAGATTTTTAATATCTTACTTTACCTTGCACTAAACTTTATCAGCACCATATATTGATTTGGAGTAGAGTCTCTGATGATTTCATTTGTTCAATTACTTTCATTAAATGGGGCGACAAACTTCATAGGTCGATGAACTGGTCATTGTAGCAGGGACTGTGAGAATACACAGCATGGCATGCGCCTCACATCTTCTTTTAAGGAGGTCATCTTACTAATAAGACAATAATTAGACTGTCTTGAATAGATGAGGTATGGTTAGTTCAAACAACACTAATTAGACAACTTTTATGTCCAAGAAAATAGGAGAAAAAATTAAACTTGTACTTTCCCAAATCAATTTAAACAATGCAGAATCTCTTATGAATTATCTCTGCAGTGGGTTTAAGACAAGCTTGAAAATATTCTATTACTCCCACCAACATTTTAATCTTCAGTTAAAATTAAAACTTTGGGGTTTTTGTTGTTGGTGTTTTGTAGACAGGAGTCTCACTCTTAGGCCTTGGGGTAGAGTACCATGGTGTCAGCCTAGTCACAGCAACCTCAATCCTGGGCTCAAGCAATCCTGCTGCCTCAGCCTCCCAAGTAGCTGAGACTACAGGCATATGCCACCATGCCCGGTCATTTTTTCTATATATATATTTTAGTTGGCAATTAATTCTTTCTATTTATAGTAGAGGACGGGGTCTTGCTCTTGCTCAGGCTGAAAAATAACCCTTTGTTAGGGTTATAAATCTGCATTAGGCAGATCTGCAGTTTGTGTTTTATTTCATTAGTGTTGAATAATAATCTGTCATTGGGTAACAACTTAGAAGCACAACTGTAGCTACAGACTTTTTTCAAAAGGGGTCTGGAAAAAAAGAGTTATAAGTATAAGGAGAAATCCTAAATCATGAGGCTATGACTGAAGATTACAGAAATGTTTTCGTGAGTTGGAACAGCTGGAATAGAGTGGAAGAAAAACCTCCCACGATGCAATTTGCTTTTGAAATGCTGCAAACTCGCTGACAAGCTATGATTCGAAAGGACTACCTATTGTTGTTTTCCCAGTAGGGATCCTGGCAGAGTTAGGACAAGGACAGCCTTTAAGGATATCAACTACCAATCATCCAAGGAGCTAATGGTCGAGCTTTGGATGATCAAATGCTTCCTTTTTTTTTTGGCCTCTAGCAAGCTGTTTCAACCACAGAAAAGGGTGAAAATAAGTGATAAAATTGTAATTACTTAACTGATTTTTTACCAGCTTCTTTAGTAACAGTTGATGGGCATGTGAGACTAAAATGATGGTGTGGATCATTTCTTTCTATTTTTTTTACTGTACCTCTCTTTCTTTCTTTTTTTTTTGAGACAAGTTTGCTTTGTTGTCCAGGGTAAGTGAGTGTCGTGGCATCAGCCTATCACAGCAACCTCAAACTCCTGGGCTTAAGCCATCCTATTGCCTCAGCTCCGAGTAGCTGGGATACAGGCAGTGCCCCATGCCTGGCTAAGTTTTCTATATATATATCAGTTGGCTAATAATCTTTCTATTTATAGTAGAGACAGGGTATCGCTCTTGCTCAGGGCTGTTTTGAACTCCTGACCTCGAGCAATCCGCCCACCTCGGCCTCCCAGAGTGCTAGGATTACAGGTGTGAGCCACGCCCCGGCCTGGGAGACTCTTTCTCAAAAAAAAAAAAAAAAGAAAGAAAAGAAAAAGAAACAAATCACAGAGCTAAATCTGCTACTTTATGAAGTGATTCAAGTGAGCACATGTAGGAAAGGTTCCCATAGAGGGCAGCAGATTGGAGCAATTAGATGTTGCTATCGAAACAGAATCAAGAATTAGGAAGATGATTAAGGACAATAGTTAAAACAAAAACTTTTCTTTTTGGCTCTAGGCAATGCTTCATTGATCTTAAATAGATGAGCACGGCACTCAATGTCAACAATGTAGATAATATATATTTTTTTAAAAAACATTTTTTTGCAATTTAAAAATGATATAAAATTCACATAATATAAAATTCTCCATTTTAAAGTATATAATTCAGTGGCTTTTAGTATATCGACAAAATTGTACAATCATTACCCCTATCTAATTCTAGAACATTTCTATCACCTCCAAAAGAAACCCTGTACCTGTTAGCAGTCCTTCATCTCTTCCCCCAGCCCCTGACAACCACTAATCCACTTTCTGTCTCTATGGACTGGCCTATACTGGGCATTTCCACAGATATCTTCGCATGTATACCAATCTGATATATTAGCAATCAAATATAAGAATTATTCACACTTACATCTTCAGATTTCAGCACTTCAGCCCTTTCCACATAGACCAGCTGGCAAACATCATCTTCTATCGAGTTGAACTGGCGGCCATTGCATGCTATATAAAAACTATCTGCATCAGCCTATAGTACACCAATGGGGAAAAGGAAAAAATTAAGACAGATATCCTGACAATGTGGCTTTATATTCAAGATGCACGGTTTCATTTATTCTCCTCATCAGCTTTTAAATTTTATACTTAGGAGAGAAAGCAACTGCCAAAAAAGTAACATCTACCTAAGCAAGCTGGTCAGCTAATTGTACTCTGTGGGTCAATATCCTACATCTCTGCAGTGTTTCTTGGGCCACAAGAGAGATTTTGCTTGAATTGGCAGAAAGTACCAGAGTGCAATAAGCTGAAAGCTAGTAGAATTTTAATATTCAACCAGCAATGGTCAACATTTCCCTTAATAACAGTTTTTTCCCTCTAGTCATCACTTGAACAGCAGCTGAAAGTAAACACTCATTTCTGGAACCAAATCATAACAGATGAGTGTTATGAAAGAACTCCTTTGAAAAAATGTCAGCATCATTTATATTAGAAAAAAATAAAAGACCAGTAGAACTGGTATGGGATGAAATACTAACTCCTCTTCAATAAACCAAATAATAATAATACATGATAGATAAGGATCCCATCAGGAGGTGTGAAACCCCCATCTAGTGTCAAATACTTAGTCAAAGTCAAGAGGTCCCAGATGAACCAGCTGTTAAATGACTAACTAATAGTCTCATTCCCTTGCAGTGGAAAATGGATGGAGAAAGCCCTTGAGGTAAACAGCGCCCTTGAGGCAAAGCTGCAAAGGCACAAGTGTACGTGTGAATATGGACACAGGTAGATCAGAACTTCTAGTCTAGCCTTGATAGAAAGCAACAAAGAGATGATTCCAGTTTTTAAACTCAGCCAATTTTCTGAGACAGAGGGGAGGCCAAGGTTTGTCTGGCTTTCATTCTCCAGTGGGCATTAGCCCAAACATAGGCAGTTGTGCACTTTGGCCCTACCAACTTCGACAAGCTGCTTCCGGGGAGAATTCTGCAAAAGGAAATGCTGCACTGTCAACCTCCAGGAAGAGATGATTCGAAGCTGTACCAGGCAAAAATAGTCCTGCCTACCTACCCTCGTGGGGTTCTGCAGCTCACTGCCACCATAAGCTTCTCATCAGCTTTTCATTCCCCTCCAATGATGTAATTCAATTGTAGATTCTTGATTATTTATGCTTTCTTAATATGACCAAGTGAGCTAAGAAGCCGAGGAAGGACGATCAATTCTGAATGCAGTTTTATTTTGGTGGTGGGGGGAGAAGGCTGGCAGGGGAATGGCTTTCCTCAGGAGACAACAGTGCATTTTAACTTCAAAATGTTTAAAGCCAGTTGCTGGCTAGTAAGTCTGTCTCCTACTAAGAGACAACTTAAAATGGCTTTCCCCCCTTCTTCAGGAGCAATGGCTTTTCCTTGAAATGCTTCTGGCTGAGTAAGCAGCACAGAGCGTAGGGATTCCGGCAACGAGGGAGCCGACTGCCTGCGAGTCAGGGCCTCGGCTCAGCTCCTCAGGGCCTCAAGCACCCCAGGAGCTGGATCCATAGCTCTGTCCATGCAAAGTGACCAGGCCTCCTCAGAAGAAGGGACGGATGTGTGACCAAACCCACGCAACACCAGAGAAATTATTCCTTTCTTGGGGGAGTAATTTATACCAAAGAAGTGTACTTTTCTGAAATGAGAACATCTATAAATAGTTGAGATTTCCCCATGTCAACACACTGGTCTCTTCATTAAAATCTCAGTACCAGAAAAGTAACTTCACTTGTGTGAGTATTTACTGAGCACCTAGTATATGCCAGGCACTACACCATGCACTAGAAAGAGTGTAGGGAACAAAATTCACATGGTTCCTATTCCAACTCACCATCAAAATACACAAAACAAAAGCCTAAAGCTAACTGCAAAGAACATACAAGAAACAACTCTTTAATATTTAAAATGTTTGCATTGTATGGAACCAAAACTTTAAATAAACCCAGCGTTTTCTTTTTCCTACTCCTTTGTTTTTATTGTTCTCTCCTGAGGATGAACTCAGAAAAGATAAATTATTATGACCAAGGTTACTTCACTGTCACAGTGATCACCTATAGTGCTGAGTATGCATTTTTACTTCTCAAAAGAGGGGTCTCCAGGGCTGTCCTAACTAAGCATTCAAGTGAAAATAAGTCAACACACTCCACTGAGAGGTTGTCTGTCCTTTTTTGTCCCCAAGATTAAAAACATAAAACCCCTTCCCATTTTCATGTGTCCTGAAGAACCATAAATCCTTTACCCAAAGACAAAGTTTCCTAAGCGTCACACTACATGTCTGTAACCACCTCTCTTTTTAAGACCTCCAATATAAAGCTAAGGCCAATAGAAATTCAAGAGATTATAAAAGACACAGAGAAGGCTTATGAATTCCTATTTAAAAACTTCTGGTGAGAAAAAGAAAGGAATAAGACTGTAGTTAGCGGCCTAGGCTATGGAGTCAGGCTGCCAAGGTTTGAATCCTAACTCTGACACTTATTAGCTGTCTTAACTTTGGGCAAGTGACATATCTGTGCCTGTTTCCTCGACTGTAAAATACAAAGCAACATCACCTACCTCATGGTATTGTTGAGAGGATTCAAGGAGATAATGCATGAAAAGCACCTGGCACGGGCTCTGGTCTCTAGTAAGTGCTCAACAGCTGGTAGCTACCAAGTCTATTGTTCTCCTTGGAGTCTATATTAATTTACCAACTTCAAGTCTTACACCAAGAGAGTATTATTAGGTCTTAGAAAATCCTTGATAGGAGGATTAGGATCGGACCCCAAGATCCAGAGTTAGCAATAATACAACTCATGATACCGAAGTCAAAGGCTCTATCCCCGTAGGGAAGAACATGGAGCAAGCGGTTTCATAGTCTCAGAAAACATCTGTCAACTTGAGCAACCTGCACTTGGTCAAAAGACAGAAGTGGAAAGGATAGTGCAGATGTACAATGAAAATCCACTAACAGAAAATATCCACAGTAGTATCTGCACATTATGAAGGGTGGCACTTGTGCCAGACTTTAGCTCAGTATGTTCTCAAATATTTTTTCCCAATCTAGTCCTACAACTTTTCCTTTGAGTTAGTTATCACTCTTAATTAAGTAGAAACTATAACTAAAATATTGTTGTTACAGAATGTCTTGCAAACAGTGACTGCTTGCCTTCCCCATGGTTTCATCCCATTCCTCCTAGAAGGGGAATACGTCCTAGGGATGATTACAAGTGAGGGCACAACCCTGCCTTGGTCATTTGTAACCCTGGGCAAATTATTCATCTCTCTGCAGTCAGTTTCCTCATCTGTGAAACAGGGGTAAGAGTAGTATGTGTCTACATCAAAAGGCCATAGATGGTGAGGTCTAAATGAGATAAAGCATGTTGAGCACTCAGCATAGTGAGGGGTATAGAAGAAGCCACCAATAAAGGTTCCACATTATTGTCATCATCCTTATTATTACATGTGCTACCAGATTTAAATGGTTTAAGGCATGACTTTCCCATGATTTGCAAAGCTCCTCATTGACCTTGGAATGCTTACTGACAGTCAGTGAAAGGAGTTAAGTGCTATTTTGTTCTTGATGTCAACTTGTAAAGTCTAAGTCTACAGGATAATCAAAACCCATGTTTTTATACATCTCCCTCAGTAGTGGAGTACTTTGTAAAGGTTAAAGAAGCCGTGTACCTTCTTGTACACAGAACTCCACACTAAAGGTTCTCTTTCTGGGGCCCATGGAGCAGGTACACATATAATTCAACTCTCATTTCTCTTAATTTCCTCCACATGGCCACTGAATGGCTGCCACTGCCATCACCTCTGGACTTCTGTACCAGGAAGGGAGAGATGGCAAGTGGACTTTGTGTTATGGGCTCCGTTTCATCCACAAACCTTGGTGACCAGTCAGAGACCAGGCACATAATCCATAATCCAGGCACGCACATTTCTTTCACAAACAGCGAATTAGAACTGTTTATCTAGGGCATGTTCAAGAAGGCTATCGATAAGGTAGAGAAGTGAACTTTTGACAAAGCTGCATTGCAAAACCTAACATGATTTCAATGTATAAACACAACAGGCTATTTTTTAAAAAAACCAAAAAACTTGAATGAAATATAAGGATAGGGTAGCTCTTTAATAATCTAGATAATACCTAAAGCTTACCTTATTTTTCTATTCATATAAAACATGCATACTCCTAAAAGTATAAATGGTGTTGCACACTCCTGAGTATGCAAAACCAAAGAAACTTTCCAGTACCTTTAGAACTGAGGTGCATGGAAAGTACTACTCAATGCAATTTAAGTGAAATGTGGTGGATAGCAAAACCTTCCTACATCGAAAAATAACTGTTATAATGCACAAGCTCTTTTAAAAACTAAAAATATCACCATTCTCTTAGTGTTTCTCTCTCTTTAATGCAGTAATTTCCGAAAAGAACTCTAAAGTATCTTTAATAATACTTCAAGGAATGTCACAAAATCCTTCACCAAAAATTTTTTTAAATATAATGGTTATCTTTCAAAATGTACCAGAGAGCACCTTTCAAGAAAAAAGAGAATGAAAGTAGGGATAATGGCAAATAATAAGACGGTGTCAACTCCAAACTGCTTTTCTGGAATAGTTACTACCGGATAAAGAAACAAATGAAACCCTAGATTTCATACCCAATCTTATCTAGAAAAAATCATGGGCATGAAGGAACAATTTTATTTCTGGTAATGAATTTAGAAATATATCTAGAATTACAATACCCTAGAAGAGATATATGTCAAGAACTGTAAGCGTAAAATGTTGTAAATCACACACAGCTAATATCATACAGTTTCAAAAACAATTTCTGTGGCAAAGAGATTTTTAATATCTTAACTTTTACCTGTGCACTAAACTTTATCAGCACCATATATTGATTTGGAGTAGAGTCTCTGATGATTTTCATTTGTTCAATTACTTCATTAAATGGGGCGACAAACTTCATAAGGTCATGACTGGTCATTGTAGCAGGGACTGTGAGAATACACAGCATGGCACTGCGCCTCACATCTTCTTTTAAGGAGGTCATCTTACTAATAAGACAATAATTAGACTGTCTTGAATAGATGAGGTATGGTTAGTTCAAACAACACTAATTAGACAACTTTTATGTCCAAGAAAATAGGAGAAAAAATTAAAACTTGTACTATTCCACAAATCAATTTAAACAATGCAGAATCTCTTAAATTATCTCTGCAGTGGAGTTTAAGACAAGCTTGAAAATATTCTACATTATACTCCCCACCAACATTTTTAATCTTCAGTTAAAAATAAACCCTTTTGGGGTTTTTTGTTGTTGTTGTTTTTGAGACAGAGTCTCACTCTTAGCCTGGGGTAGAGTACCATGGTGTCAGCCTAGCTCACAGCAACCTCAAATCCTGGGCTCAAGCAATCCTGCTGCCTCAGCCTCCCAAGTAGCTGAGACTACAGGCATATGCCACCATGCCCGGTTCATTTTTTTCTATATATATATTTTTTAGTTGGCCAATTAATTTCTTTCTATTTATAGTAGAGACGGGGTCTTGCTCTTGCTCAGGCTGGAAAAATAAACCCTTTTGTTAGGGTTATAAATCTGCATTAGGCAGATCTGCAGTTTGTGTTTTATTCTCATTAGTGTTTGAATAATAATCTGTCATTGGGTAACAACTTCGAAGCACAACTGTAGCTACAGACTTTTTTCAAAGGGTCTGGAAAAAAAGAGTTATAAGTATAAGAGAGAATCCTAAATCATGAGGCTATGACTGAAGATTACAGAAATGTTTTCGTGAGTTGGAACAGCTGGAATAGAGTGGGAAGAAAAACCTCCCACGATGCAATTTGCTTTTGAAATGCTGCAAACTCGCTTGACAGCTATGATTCGAAAGGACTACCTACTTGTTGTTTTCCCAGTAGGGACCTGGCAGAGTTAGGACAAGGACAGCCTTTAAGATATCAACTACCAATCATTCAAGGAGCTAATGGTCGAGCTTGTGGATGATCAAATGCTTCCTTTTTTTTTTGGGCCTCTAGCAAGCTGTTTCAACCACAGAAAAGGGTGAAAATAAGTGATAAAATTGTAATTACTTAACTGATTTTTTACCAGCTTCTTTAGTAAAGATTTGATGGGCATGTGAGACTAAAATGATGGTGTGGATCATTTTCTTTCTATTTTTTTTTTTTACTGTACCTTCTTTCTTTCTTTCTTTTTTTTTTTTGAGACAGAGTCTTGCTTTGTTGTCCAGGCTAGAGTGAGTGTCGTGGCATCAGCCTAGCTCACAGCAACCTCAAATTCCTGGGCTCAAGGAATCCTCCTGTCTCAGCCTCCCAAGTAGCTGGGACTACAGGCATGTGCCACCATGCCTGGCTAAGTTTTTCTATATATATATCAGTTGGCTAATTAATTTCTTTCTATTTATAGTAGAGACAGGGTATCGCTCTTGCTCAGGCTGGTCTTGAACTCCTGACCTCAAGCGATCCTCCTGCCTCAGCCTTCTAGAGTGCTAGGATTACAGGGGTGAGTCACCTCACCCAGCTCATTTAGGACTATAAAGTTTGAAAACCAAACCTACCAGTTCTGACTACCTCCATGCTGGAGATACGGCACTTACCACTTCCTCAGGTAAAATGAGCTGAGAGAAGCAGGAGGAAGCACAACATGCTTATCTGAACACACTCAGATCTGCTACTGAATTAGGTGGTAAGAAGCCCTCCTTCACCAAATAGAGTTGTCAACCCAGCTTGTTAGGATTGATTTGGAAAAAATATTTGGAGCCACTGAAATGTGCCTTAACAACCTCATGTAGAACACACAGGCTGTGAAAGATAAAAGTACACTAGAGGTCAAAATCATGGGCTCCTCAAACAATATGTATAAAACAGACAGCCAAGAACTCACATTACAAAAGAGCCCATGATTTTATTTTTATTTTATTATTTTACTTTTTGAGACAGAGTCTCGCTTTGTTGCCCAGGCTAGAGTGAGTGCCGTGGCGTCAGCCTAACTCACAGCAACCTCAAACTCCTGGGCTCAAGCGATCCTACTGCCTCAGCCTCCTGAGTTGCTCGGACTACAAGCATGCACCGCCATGCCCGGCTAATTTTTTCTATATATATATTAGTTGGCCAATTAATTTCTTTCTATTTATAGTAGAGATGGGGTCTCACTATTGCTCAGGCTGGTTTCGAACTCCTGACCTCAAGCAATCTGCCCGCCTCGGCCTCCCAGAGTGCTAGGATTACAGGCGTGAGCCACTGCACCCGGCCAAGCCCATGATTTTAGAAAGCATACCTGGGTTGGACTTCATGGTCTCAATGATCATATCTGTCATTTCTCGACGGCCAAGATGCTGATGGATAATTGTTGCTTTCTCCCCTGGTGACTTCCCTTCTAAACAGGCAACTGCTGAAGCTAGTGTCTTCTTTTTGATCTCCTCATCAGACATTTCCCCGGCTAAGGAACATATGAATGATTAATACCTGATGATAAAACAAACTCTTCTCCATTTTCAATGTATCCATCGATACGTTTCCCTTTTTCTCTCTGCTGCCTTCCCGCAAGATAGTAAGAAGCCTTTGCAGTACCCATCTCACTCACCTCTGGGACTCCTACAGTACCCAGTAAACAGTCAATAAGCAGCCAGTACAATAAACTCAGAAATGCAGGGCTGTTCTGGTGGAATCATGCACTTTAAAGTGAATCAACAAGAGTATAGCCTTAGAGAAGGTTCAACTGTGATTATGTCCAGATGAACTAAAATTTTATTAACATCTGATAAAGTGAAACCACGTTGAGCCCAAAATGAAGGTATCAAGTCCATTAATAAATAAAATTTCAAAAAACCTTCAGGGGTAGTCTTAAACATTCAGAGTTACTCTCAAGCCATGAAAATTTGTGATAAGTATCCTAAATCAATGAAACACATAAAAAGGGAAAAAGAATTTGGAGACTTGACTGAAATTGGAGACTTGACTGAAATATTCTTAACATAAACTCTGTCAGGGAAGGAACCACACCTGTTTTGCCCATCACTTATTCTCAGTACTAATATCACAGTGCCTAGCACACAGAAGGATGCTCTCTATATATGTACTGAACTAATGAATAAATGGACTCAGTGATTGATCCATGTAAATCTGTATGTGGCTAATGTCAATCTGACTTTCAAAACTCAGAAGTCATTTTTAGCTTTTGAAAGGTGCTCATAACCCATTAAATCATATTCAGTCTTTAATGTGCAGCTGCAAAGTTCATGTACTCAGGGAAATTTCCAGTGACACTATCCCTACCTGCCTCAGTCCTGCTCTCCGAACCGACAGATCTTCTTGTAGTAGTTTTCCAAACTGCTTCTCCTTTCCTTCACAGCACTTATTGCAGTTGTAATTCTGTTTATTCTGCACTTAATTCATGTCTCCCCCACTGAACTGCTGGTGCTATTAAAGCAGACACCACATCTGATTCTACATATAACAAAAACTCCAGCAGATAGAGAACATTAAGTAAATACTTCTTGAATGAATGTTATTATTCGGTAATTATTTGAGGACCAAGGAACAGAGTTATAGCTGCATTCCCCACTAAGGAACTGCGTAAAGAGCTCAGACTCATGTCCAGCTCCCTGAGTTAGAATCCCAGTTTTACCAATTACAGATCCTTGGGTAAATCATTTAATCACTAACCCTGTGTCACAATTTGTAAAAGGTGCGTACCACCCATCTATCTCACAGGATAGTTACAAATATAGTTAAAGAACACACGAGGTGTTTAGTACAGTGCTGGGCTATAGCAAGTGTCCAAATTTTAATTATTACTATTGTTATGGGGCACCTAAAGGGATGCTCTTCCAAAGAGGAACAATTACATTAACCCAGGGACTGTCAGCGTCACTGGGGACCCAGTGCTTGCCTTCACGGAGTCTAGAGGAAATCGAGTGAGATACACACACAACTCGACTCAAGCAGGGCGGAGAGCGAGACGCGCCAGGTAGAAACAACGCCCGTGGGAAGGCACAGGGAGGGTGGGACGCGGAAGGGCTTCCCAGAGATGACATCTGGAAAGGCCTCTCAAGGATGGATGGGAAGAGAGGGATCCCAACCACCTCTTTGCTTCTTCGTAAGGCAAAAGCCCTCGCCGCGGACTTTCCTTGGACCCGTACTTTGGGAGGGCGAGCCCCCCGGGCCCAGACCCGACCGCAGGGAAGGCGGCGAGGCCGCGGGACTCACCGGCGGCGCTGAAGCCGAAGCCGGCGGGGATGGGCGAGTGTTCCGCGAGCTCCAGTCGGATGACAACCAGTGACACACTCATAGGGCAAGCGCTGGCCGGCGCGGGCCCCGGCGGGCTCAGGCGAGGCTGGGAGGCAAGCCGAGAGGCTGAGCGGCCCGGGGCTGGCAGCGCCGCCACCGCCTCAGCGCCGCCGCCGCCTCAGCAGCAGCAGCAGCAGCAGCACTTCACGCAGCTCTCAGAGCCACAACAACCTCTACTTCCGCCTCCCGGCCGCCGTCGCTGACCCGTGGGGTCACGCATGCGCGCACGAGCGCGCTCCGATTGGGCGGCGCGGCACGGAGGAGATCCTAAGGCCTTCTGGGTGGGATCTCGAAGAGGTCAGGAAGCAAGGACATCTTTGAAGTTGCTGTTGCTGGCGCCCCCTCCTTAGGCCTTCGGTGGGTTTTCGCCCAGGCCCTAGTTAACATCTGCCTCCCGGAGAGGCCTCGTCCTTAGGCCATCTCGGCTGGTGGCGTGGAGTCCCTGTCTCCGCCAGGTCTCGGAATTGTCCGAGGAACCTGTCCTGTGTGGAGCTTTTGTCTCTTTTATAGCGTTTAACCCCTCGCTCTAACCTTAGGAAGGGTTGCTTTATTTCAGCCCCACTCTACCGAAAGATACGCTGAGGCTCAGCTTGGTGAAGTTGCATCTCAGGGCCCATGGGGATTGCAGACTCCGTTGCAGGGTTTCTGACTCTATTAAGGTAGCGATGGGCTGGGTAAGAGCACAGTGCTGGAGATAGATCTGGGTCAAGCCCCCCACGCATCACTTCACAGATGTTTACTGAGGCACTGCTGGGATGCGTGAGATACATTGGCGAATAACGTAAACACTGTTCTTGCCCCGTATTGCGGCGTGGACCTTCATCACCAGTTGTGCGATCTTGAGCTAGTCATTGCATAAAGTTGGGATAATGTAATATCTTCATAGGGTTGTGAGGATGAAGTAAAATGAGTATAGAGAGAACATTAGCTTTTCTGAGGTTTAGCATTCTTCCCAGTATATCAGACTGACTTTAGCATACAGGTATTCCAGCCACAATCAGTGCATATATCGCATGTACGTGACAGGTTGCTATTCTAGGTGTATGTTATAATGATACATATGTAAGTACACATACGTAAGTATGTAGTACGTCCTGGATATGTGTAGGTATATTTACTATATGTGTATAACATGACCACATGATATATGGGTATACAGCGCTTGTGACTACCCTATGACATACGTTTCAGTGTATCTTGCCCTATTGACATTTTGGGTCCTGTTAATTCTTGGAGGGGACAGCGTCCTGAGCATTGTAGAATGTTTGGAAGCATCCCTGGTCTGACCCACTAGACCTTAGTAGCCCCTGTTCCCCAGTGGTGACAGCCAAAAATGTCTCTGGACTTCCAAATGCCCCCTTGAGGTCAAAGTCGCTCCGTGTTGAGAATCACTGGTTTATGTGAAAGTACATAAGTCATACACACATATTTGTAAAGCATATGATACCTTGTGTGAACCGTTGTAGTATATTACAATAGTAGTAGCATTTCATGGTGTGCCAGATACTGACTTGAGTGTTTTACATACTTTATCTCATGCACTGGTAACTTTATGAGACAGGTACTATGATTGTCCCTGTTATATACAGGAGGAACCTGAGGCTATGAGGGAGTAACTTGCTCAGTATCTCACGGTTAAGTGACAGAGGTAGAATTTGAATCCGGGGAATTTGATCCCATAGCCAACACTCTTAATCTCTTTACTAAATAAATTGTCTCATTAGTGTATGACAACACACAGTGTGTGTGCATATTTATGAAAGCATAATTTAGGGAGAAAATCTATGTTATCATACTAATCTCGTTATTCTCAGGGAGAAGACATTCTTTAGGGTAAATGCTAATTCTAGAGAACTAGAATTGTTGGCCAGAGAAGGGAAAGTTGGGAATGTTACAGTTCTTTTTGGCTGCCAACCACTAACCCTGTCCCTAGCTTTTCTCTATTTTATGCTACTTCCAGGTCATTCATCCTTTCAACCCATATTTATGAGCACCTGATATGTGTCTAGAAACTGGGCCCTAAGGGAAAGTTGTATACAATGATAGATAAGATAGTCCTTTCCTTAAGGAACTTATAATTGTAGGAGTAGAGAGACATGAAAATAGTTACTCTGTAGTGGGATAAGTACTTTACTGAAGGCATGGAGAAGGGGCAGTGGGAGTGAACAAAAAGTCCTACAGTCTGCCTGGAAAAATAAAAGCCTCTACAGAGGTGGTAAAGCTGAGGCTATGATGTCAAAATGAAGGGAAATTCACCAGGCAATTAAAGAAGAGAAAGGTGTTCCAGTCAACGAGCACAGCAGGTACCAAAGAGTGTAGGTATGAAAAGTGACAGCATTTTCCCACTTTGAAGAGAGTGTTGGGAAGTGGCTAGAACAGAACAGTCATCTATAGTTGAAGGAGTAAGCAGGCTGCCTGTGGGAGCATTGCCCACATATCCATTAACAGGAGAATGAGGAGGTTGGTGTCCTCAATAAGGATTAAAGTTCACCCTCCAGGCCCCAAAGGCACTTTTTATCTCTGTTAAGCCCTCACACTGTGTTGATGCTTTTATGAGCCTATAAATAAGTTTCTTTTCCTATCATAAACTTTCGCCTTGGCATAGGAACATAAGTAAAACAAAGTGCAAATCAGCTTTGAAATTTTTAGTTTCAAAATTTACTCCTAAATTTAGCACATTTCCTCCCTCAGCATCCTCAGGGGATTGGTTCCAGGACACCCTGGGTACTAAAATCTGAGGATGCTTAAGTCCCTTATGTAAAGTGGCACAGTAATTTGCATATAACCCACACACATCCTCCTGTATACTTTAAATCATCAGTTCACATATGTTTTGTGTATACCTTATACACATAGCCTCAAGGTAATTTTGTATAATATTTTTAAATAGTTTTGTGCATAAAACAAAGTTTGTATTAAGTACTCATGTGTGGAATTTTTTTACTTGTGGTGTCATATCAACACTCAAAAAGTTTCAGATTTTGAATTTCAGATTTTCAGATTAGGGATGCTCAAGCTGTATAGTTTTTTGATTCCTTTTGGCAGTACTGAAGTGAATCCCATGAACTCATAGGTTGTCTTGCCAGCCTGTTTTAATCTCACCTGATTTTTATAATAGTTCGTTTTTTAACTATAGAATTGACATAAAAAGTAGGCCAGGTGCTCATGCCTGTAATCCTAACACTTTGGAAGGCCAAGGTAGGAGGATCTCTTGAGCCCAGGAGTTTGAGGTTGCGGTGAGTTATGATGATGTCACTACCCTCTAGCTTAGACAACAGAGCTGAAAGAAAGTACAGTGATCTCTCATAAACCTTTCATCTAGATTGACTTTTAACATTTGGCCATATTTGGTTTATCTCTATACATGTGTATGTGTGTGTGTGTGTGTGTATATATATATATAAGTATATATATACATATATATATTTGTGTGTTGTATGTGTATATTATTTTTAAAATCTGATCCTTTTGAAAATAAGTTTAGAAAAGAGACAGTGGGGAACAGTTATTAGGCTATCACAGTGATCAGTAAGACATAATGGTGTTTTGATGTTGTGATGGTAGTCTCTTAAGTGCTAGGAGGAGATGAGTACAGGACTTCTTGGGAGTATACAGACTCCTACTCTGTCACTTCTGGTAGCCAGAAGAGGTTTCATGAAGACAGTGACAGGTAAACTACAACCCAAAAGACCCTTTAAAATTAACTGGGTAACAGGTGCAAGACAGCATTCCAGGCCAAGGGAACAGAATATGCAAAGGCTTGGTAGCATGGGGAGAACCTCACGTGTTTGAGGAAATTGCATGTAGATTTGCATGTGCAGATCATTCAGGTTGAGGTGAAACAACGGGGACTTCCTGCAGAAAGAGGGAAGCAGATCTTAGAGGGCCTTTTAAGCTAGGTTAGGGAACTGAGAGTTTATCTTTAGGGCAGTGAGAACTGTTGAAGGATGATGGAGCCCTTTACTCAGTAGTCAGGGAGGGCACAGCCACAGTGAGGTCACTTGTGGATGTGGTTTGAGGTGTCTGTGGGTGATCAGTTGGAGATGTCTGGGTGGCACCCCTGAGCTGCAGGGCAGAGGCCTGAATTGGAGGCAGTGACGGTGAGCTGTTTCCTCTGCCTTCTCGCACAGCCCAGCCTCAACATGTGCATAAGGAGGCTTTTACAGTCCCTCTCTCTCCAGTGGGCTTGGAGGGCAGCCTTTCTGAAACACTTCCAGTCCAGGCACCAGGGAACCCACCGCTGGACACATTTTGGAGGCAGCACCTATAGAGCTGTGATTTTTGACATGGGTGGAGTTCTCATTCCTTCTCCAGGGAGAGTGGCTGCAGGTGAGCTCTTCATTCTGTTCTGTTGCACTTTGGGGGACTGGGGTGGGGAGGCAGAGTGTATCCCAGTGCAGTCCTCTGGCTCTTGAATCAAATTCCAAGCACCACTAAGTGGCTGAGTATCTTGCACAAATTATTCAACTTGTCGGAGTCTTATTTTCCTGCTCATTAAATTAGGACTAATAAAAGTACCTGCCTCCTTGGGATCTGGGGGAGAGTTGAATGAAGCAATCCACGAAGAGCACTTGCCTAGCATGGTGAGTGCTCAGCTCCTGCTATATTCTCAGTGATGAGCTGCCATGATTGTCGTTGTTGTGATTAGAATTTAACTGCCTTTCCCTGGGAACTGTGCTGCTTCTGAAATCTTGAATGCTGAATGCAATTACCCCTTTGATCACATTTCTCTCTTCTGCCTTGCTTCCCTCTAAACCTGCTTCTGGACCTGCAAGGTGAACCCTCCAGTCTCCTTGGCCCTCTCTTTATCAGCCTCTGCCTAGTTTTACTTCTTTTCCCTACTTGGTTCATCCTACATTAGTTAGATTCATTTTGGCTTCAAGTGGTAGCAAACTTTTTTTTTTTTTTTTTTTTTTTTGAGACAGAGTCTTACTCTGTTGCCTGGGCTAGAGTGCTGTGGGGTCAGCCTAGCTCACAGCAACCTCAAACTCCTGGGCTCAAGGGATCCTCCTGCCTCAGCCTCCCGGGTAGCTGAGACTACAGGCATGCGCCACTGTGCCCAGCTAATATTTTCTATTTTTAGTTGTTTGGCTAATTTCTTTCTATTTATAGTAGAGATGGGGTCTCGCTCTTGCTCAGGCTGGTCTCAAACTCCTGAGCTCAAGCAATCCTCCCATCTCGGCCTCCAAAGTGCTAGGATTATAGGCGTGAGCCACTGCACCTGGCCAAGTGGTAGCAAACTTAACAAATGACTTCTCATCATTTCCTCTTTCACCTCGTGGTCTGTCATGGCTGCCCTACCTCCTGCTATCATGTCCTCATTCCAGCCAGCAGGAAGGAGAAAGAGACAATCTGCTGTCCCTTTGCTTTTGACCTTCAGTGGGGGCTGGCTGGCCAGTTCTCCATCCTAAATCAACCCAAGTGCAGGTTTTCTGCACCCATGCGTCTGGGCTCTCTAACACTGCTGGGAACAATTACCCAGCTGTGTAAACCAGCTGCGTGGGCCAGTGTTTGAGCTCCAACCTCAGCTGGACCCTTGGTGCTATGACAAAGCCTCCCTGTTCTTCTGCTCGTATTTCTCTCATGGTTACCTCAGGAGCTGTTCCAAACTGTCAGCTCCCCCAGGCTCCTCACCACCCCCCAATATTCATACTCAACAGACAGCTGAATCTCCTCTTTTACAGAGACCATAAAGAGCGCTGGACAGGAAGTTTCTCAACTTTCTCCAGAATATCTTGAGAACCTCCATTCCCACTGCCTCTCCCCTGTGTAGATCCCAGTCTTCTCTCACCTGAATGATGGCATCGGCCTCCTCACTCCTCTCCCTGCCTCTAGCTCCAGAATTACCTTTCTAGAACATAGATCTTGTTCCTTCCCTCCCCTGCTTCAAAGCCTTGAATGCCTGTATGTAGTCCCTTAGCTTAAGTCTGGAAGCTTTCACCAGGTATTCAGGGCCTCTCGCAGGTCTAGCTTTCCTGTCCCTATGTCATACCATTTTCACTGTGTGACCTCGCCCAGCCAGGACCTGATACTTAACGGCAGTGTGCACTCTGTCATGCAAATTAGTATCACTCTTCTTTTGGAGGTCTAAGGTTGAGATTTTGCATTTCATGAATTCCTCTGACTTCCTAATAGCATCCACCCTAGCACCATGATGATGCCGTAGGAACTGATATGGTAATTCCCCTGAGTCCCCCAAACCCCAGCCATTTGTCAATGTATTATATTTTACTTTTGCACATTTTACTTTCTATAGAATGGGAGGTACAGAATCATATCCCTTCTGGAACCATAGTGAAGGCCTTGGTGGAAGGTGGTGAAAATGGGCCTTGGATGAGATTTATGAGAGGAGAGATAAAAGTACAAGATTTCTTACAAGAGTTTGGGAGACTTTGCTCTGAAATGGTGAGTGATAAACATACCTGCATTTTCATATAATTCTTTTTGTGTTGAGTAGTGGTTGCAACATTCATCTATAAGTTGGTTAAACTGAAAATACAGCAAAATGTAGGCCTGACGCCATTGCTCATGCCTGTAATCCCAGCACTTTGGGAGGCTGAAATGGGAGGATTGCTTGAGGCCAGGAGTTCGAGACCAGCCTAAGCAAGAGTGAGACCCCATCTGTACAAAAAATAGAAAAATGAGCTTGGTGTGGTGGTAGGCACCTGTAGTCCCAGCTACTTGGGAGGCTGAGGCAGGAAGATCACTTCAGCCCAGGAGTTCAGGCTTGCAGTGAGCTATGATCATGCCATTGTAATCCAGCCTGGGTGACAGAGCAATACTCTGTCTCAAAAAAAAAGGCGAAACCTAATGTTTCAGTTCATTTTGCACTGCTATAAAGAAATGCCTGAGGCTGGATAATTTATAAAGAAAAGTGGTTTGTTTGTCTCACAGTTCTGCAGATTGTTTAAGAAGCATCGCACCAGCATCTACTACTTGTGCTAAAAGCTTCAGGGAGCTTCCCATCAAGGTGGAAGGTGAAGAAGAAGCAGGCGTGTCACGTGGCAAGAGAAGGAGCAAGGAGGGTGGGAGTGGTGCCAGGCTCCTTCAGACAACCAGCTCATACAGACAGAACTTACCCATTGTGGAGGGGAGGGCACCACGCCATGTATGAGGGATCCACCCCACGACCCAGACACCTCCCACCAGGTCCCACGTTCAACACTGGGGATCACATTTCAACATGAAATTTGGAGGAGCCAACATCCAAACCATATCGTCTAATAACCCATTATATGTTTTTAAGCTATTTCTTCTACCCCTAGGTACTCAACTTTAAATTCACATAGGAATAAGTAGAAATGTTCTTTAGTAAGCCCCTCCAGCAGATTTTTTTAATGTTTACATGTTTATTATAAAGGATATTATGAAGGATATAGATGCACAGCTACCTGACAGATGCACAGGGGCAAGGGGTGCAGAGCTTCCATGCCCTTCCTGGGCCTGCCACCCTCTAGCACCTCCCTGTGTTCAGCAGCCCAGAAATTCCCCCCACCCCACAGACAGTGAAACAGGACCTGTATGCATAAAGGCTTTGATCAAAAATATTATTTAAAGCAATAATATTAACATTTTCTCTGTATTGTGTATTGCTCTAAGCTCTTCATATTAACTCATGTAATCTTCACAATAGCTCTACTAAAATATAATTTAGAAATATAATAATAAAAAAAGTTCTGTAGGTGGATGGTGATGATAGTTGAATAACAGTGTGACTGTACTTAATACCACTGCATTGTACACTTCAAAATAGTTCAAATGAGCCAGGTGCAGTGGCCCACACCTATAATCCTGGCACTTGGAAGGCTGAGGTGGGAAGTTACTTGAGGCCAGAAGTTCGAGACCTGCCTGGGCAACATATCAAGACTCCATCTAAAATAAATTTTTTTTAATTACCTGAGAATGGTGGTGAGCCTCTGTAATCCTACTCAGGAGGCTGAGGCAGGAGGATCACGTGAGCCCAGGAGTTTGAGACTGCAGTGAGTTATGATCTGCAGTCCAACCTGGATGACAGCATTTTCTCTATATTGTTTCAAAAAGTTTAAAAATAGTTAAAATGGTAAATTTTATGTTTCATATATTTTCTGTAATTAAAAAATATGTATAGGCCAGGTGCGGTGGCTTACACCTTAATCTTAGTACTCTGAGAGGCCAAGGCAGGCGGATTATTTGAGCTCAAGAGTTGGAGACCAACCTGAGCAAGAATGAAACCCCGTCTCTACTAAAAATAGAAAGAAATTAGCTGGACAACTAAAAGTACATAGAAAAAATTAGCCGGGCATGGTGGCGCATGCCTGTAGTCCCAGCTATTCAGGAGGCTGAGGCAGTAGGATTGCTTGAGTCCAGGAGTTTGAGGTTGCTGTGAGCCAGGCTGACGCCATGGCACTCTAGCCTGGGCAACAGAGTGAGACTCTGCCTCAAAAAAAAAAAAAAAAAAAATATATATATATATATGTATATATAAAAATTATAAACCTTGAAAATGTTATGCTAAGTGAAAGAAGCAGCCAGTCAAAAAAGACCACATATCATATGGTTCCATTTATATGAAATGTCCAGAATAGGCAAATCTATAGAGGCAGAAAGTGGATTAGTGGTTTTCCAGGCCTGGGGCTGTAAGGGGAAATGAGGACTGACTGCTAATGGATATGGATTTCCCCTTAGGGTAATGAAAATGTTCTAAAATTGATTGTGGTGATGGTTGCACAACTTTATGAATATATTAAAAACCATTGAATTGTATATTTTAGGTGAATTGTACAGTATGTGAATTATATTTCAATAAGGCTGTTATAAAATATCCATGTATATATATGTATATGTAAAATAGCAGACTGCAGATTTTGAAACTTGATAATAATAAGAGTTTTAAAAAACTCACAGATTGAATTTAAAAACAAAAATTGATCAGAAACTAAAGTTCATAATGGTGGTGCTGAGGCAATACAAAATCATTAAGTGCCTTCTGGATCATTAAAAATTAAATTACATCTGCTTAATACACTTTTAGAGTTTAATGTATCCTTTTATGACGTTCTGATATTTTTTCAATTAGCAATCCATGAGTGGAATAAAGAAGTCATTTAATTGCATTATTGATATAAATAGCTCCATTCTCTCATCATTATAACTCTAATTCTAAGTTACTTTTAAAAAACCTTAGATGAAGAGTTCAGCCCAGGAGTCTGGACACTTCAGAGAGCAGCAGGAAGCCAGGAATAAGTCTTTTCTGTTGGTCAGGACTGGTTCCCACTCTTAATGATTCTGGTTCTCCTCTGCCCTCCCCATTCTTAGTCAAACACCTCTGTGCCTGTGGACTCATTTTTCTCTCTGCTGACCAGTGAGCAAGTGGCAAAGCAGTTCCCAGTGATGACTGAGGCCATTGCTCAAATTCGGGCAAAAGGCCTTCGGACTGCAGTCTTGAGCAATAATTTTTACTTTCCCGATGGGAGAAGCTTTTTGCCCCTGGACCGGAAACAGTTTGATGTGGTAAGCTCACAGTGATTCAAACAATCAAAACAGGATCTGTGCCTTTGCTTCAGGATGCAACATTAGATGATGCCTTTTAGCAGGTCTCGAGTGAATGATTTTTTATTCAGTTAGATTTAAATGCAGTGGGTTGAAAACAGGGTTTTTAGAATATCACTGTGCTCTTAGCAAGGTCAACATTTGTGGGATTTGATAATTGCTTGTAACCTCAGCTTTAGAGACTCCCTTACATTCTGAATTTGAGCCTTCATCTTCATATAACAAGAGCATCTCCATCAGCCTGCACATCTTAGTGGGCCTTTTGACCTTTGCTCTTCTCAAACCAACTATGTTGCCCTCGATGCTGTGACGTTGATTCTTAGACCTGTGCTCTCCAGTAAAACTTGACTGCCTCCCTGGCCTGATTTACTCCCCTGCTGAATTTATATGATATGCTGTATGTGTATATGCTAGCCTCTAATGCTTATGATACAGTTTTGATGTGCTTGGCTGTATCTGGGTACATTTTATTTTATTTTATTTTATTTGAGACAGAGTCTCACTCTGTTGCCTGGGCTATAGTGCCATGGCATCAGCCTAGCTCACAGCAACCTCAAACTCCTGGGCTCAGGCAATCCTCCTACCTCAGCCTTCCAAGTAGCTGGGACTACAGGCATGCGCCACCATGCCTGGCAATTTTTTTCTATATATGTTAGTTGGCCAATTAATTTCTTTCTATTTTCAGTAGAGACGCGGTCTCACTCTTGCTCAGGCTGAGCTCGAACTCCTGAGCTCAAATGATCTGCCCACCTCAGCCTCCCAGAGTGCTAGGATTATAGGTGTGAGCCACCAGGCCCGGCCGGTACTTTTTAAATGTTTAGGCCAGGCGCGGTGGCTCACGCCTGTAATCCTAGCACTCTGGGAGTCCGAGGCTGGCAGATTGCTCAAGGTCAGGAGTTCAAAAGCAACCTGAGCAAGAGCGAAACCCGTCTCTACTGAAAATAGAAAGAAATTAATTGGCCAACTAATATATATAGAAAAAATTAGCCGGGCATGGTGGCGCATGCCTGTAGTCCCAGCTATTCCAGAGGCTGAGGTAGGAGGATCGCTTGCGCCCAGGAGTTTGAGGTTGCTGTGAGCTAGGCTGATGCCATGGCGTTCACTCTAGCCTGGGCAACAAAGCAAGACTCTGTCTCAAAATAAATAAATAAATAATAAAATAAATGTTTATTTGTGTCTTATAGCCAACAGCAGTGATAATTCTCTTTAGAGACTCCAAAGCCCAGATTGACATAGGCTTCCAGGGCCATCCAGAGTTGGGATAGATCAGGAAGACCCTTCCCTGTGGCCCACTCCTCCAGGGATAATCCGGGTCAGTGCAAATGGGAAACATCTAGCTAAATACAGTGAGAGTCACGGTGGCCTCTGGAACACATTAGGGGAAACTTCTCTGATAACTTGAGCATTGCACATTTTATTAATAGAGCTGCTTTCTGTTTCTTTCCATCTTTGGAAGAGGTACTTTGGTTTGACTCCAGAAAGTAGCATGTTTCCTGCTCCTTAATCCTAAATCTACCTGTTGCTATGTGTGTTTGTGCCCTTAATTGGACCAGTGAGATTAATGTATAGGTTTTCAACTCTCCCTGCACATCAACATGACCTAGGAGTTTGTAAAGGTGCCAGGTCCCTTCCCCTAGAAGTTCTCATTGAGTGCGTCGGGGCAGGACCTGGACATGCATATTTATGGAAAACACCATGGGTGATTCTGCTGTGCAGTTGGGGTGAGAACCCCTGAGATGCAGTGAGGGACTTTGGATTCCGTCCACAGTTCTCTCCTGTCACACGGCCTCCAGCATGCTCACCTTGAGAGGACGGCTTCCCTTCCATCTTCCCGTGAGAGATCCTTTATAAACTAAAACCATTTTTATTTCATCTGTATTTGGATGAACACTGGCCATATTCCCACAGTTCCTGGTTTGCTGAGAAGGTAATAGTTGAACAGGTTAATGCCATCTGTGCCAAATAGAATAGAAAGAGAAGGCCAGAGATCTATCAAACAAATCTTCAGGATTTTTCACCTCACCCAAATGCAGTTGACCTGGGAAAGGAGCTGTCTGCTTGTCAGAATGTGGCCCCATCACCCTGAATCCCCTCTGTTGTCTCACGCCTTGTCTCAGCTGGCACAACTATGAAGCACAGCAGCTGGAAGCTGCTTCCTTCTAGCATAATGTATCGATTGGTGTCTGGCACGTCCTGCTTCTGTGCTATCCACTATTGACATTTTCTTTAGGGGGAGCTTCTTAGTATTCTTTTAACTCATTCAGGCCCTTAAAAGACAAGGAAAAGTAAGTAGAAATGTCGAATTTATTTATAGGACATTTATTTACCTGAAAGAACATTTTCACCCAACCCAGAATACAAGTGGAGGGAGGGGCCCTCGGGTTTGTCCTTGGCCTTGGAGAACGTGGGTCATACCAAGCAGTGAGTCAGAGATTTAGTTCAATTCTTAGGGAGGCCCAGAGGGTATTGGTTATAGGCCTATATGGCCCCGTTGGGCCCACTTTATAGAAGATTAAGCCCTGGAGACAGTGTAAGAGGACTTTTAGGGGGGAGGGGGTGTCACTGGATCAGAGATAGCCTGACACTGAGATAACTTTTTCAGGATTCTCCTGAACTCTCACCAGACACCCTGGTTCCAGATCACGTACATGGCTGAAGCAAGGGTGTCAGGGTAGAGGAGCCTCTTGGCATGAAAGGAACATGTCTTTGCCACTGTGGTCTCTTTGGTGTAACCCCTCCTGTGGGATTTCTATCTAAATTGAGTATAGATGGGTTATTTTTTTTAACCTCTGAAATAAACATTAAGGTCATATTTATTTTGTAGCAGTAAACAGTCCCTTCTTTCTGGAAAGATGGTAAAATAGTCTCCACGAAGCTGAAATGTACAGCTTATCTTCTGCTCTGTGTATCCCAATATCCACATTAGCAAAATGCCACCCATTGTGGCTTTGGTGTTTGTATAAGGTCATAGCGTCTGAACCAGTACTTTGGTTTCGTGAGTTTGCCCCCAGGTTGTAACCTAGTATTGTCAAATCACGCAATGTAAGAAGGCAACATCATTTTATATCATAATACTCTTAAGTTACTTATTAAATAAATCTCAACTGTCCTCCTTATGCTCTTCCTTTTAAAAAGTTTACCAGCATGTATGTGGGAGTGCCACCTTTAGGGATATTCATCTGTCATTCCTGTCCCTCCCTCAGGTCGTGGAGTCCTGCCTGGAAGGTATCTGTAAGCCAGACCCTAGGATCTACCAGCTGTGCTTAGAGCGCTTGGGCCTGCAGCCCTCTGAGTCCATCTTTCTTGATGATCTTGGACCAAATCTAAAAGCAGCTGCCAGCCTTGGTATTCACACCATTAAGGTAATAGTCACTATATTTTGAACCCCTACTATATACCAGGCACTGCATTTCTATGCAGTCTTTTTACATTTGAGGTTGTAGCTTTCCTTAGTGGTTTTCCCTCATGTTTCCATATTTATCTTATTTCTTTTATTATTAATGTGGACATCTATTTGACTGGCTGCTTGTATTTTCAATGGGAAGCAAGACAAACACATACTAAGAAGGCATTTTGAGAAAAGTGAGGAGATGAATGATAGGCTTAAGACACACAAGGAGATGAATGACAGGCTTAATACACCTGGGGTGGCATTCAGACTGTCCTAGTGATCTAGCGATGCCATTCTAGGTGAGGAGCACCTGGGCCACCCTGGCCATGAAGGCTGTGAAGTACAAGAAGCCATGTGAGAGGTTTCTGCCAGCCTTCTTCAACATTTGAGTTTTCATTATTAAGCTAATTGGCCTGTAGGGACAGAGCAAATGCTGTAGCACAATCTTCCTTCTGCCTTCTTGACTCAAAAGAGTATGTTTCTTAAGACAGGATCGCGCTATGTTGCCCAGGCTGGCCTTAAACTTCTGAGCTCAAGTGATCCTCCTGCCCCAGCCTCCACTAGCTGGGACTGTAGGCAGGAGGTATCACACCCCGCTGTGTTGTGAACTCTTGACCCATGCTTTTCCCTGCAGATAGAAAGTTCAATGTGGGGCCAGCAAGGTGGCTCACGCCTGTAATCCTAGCACTCTGGGAGGCCAAGGCAGGAGGATTGCTCAAGGTCAGGAGTTTGAAACCAGCCTGAGCAAGAGCGAGACCCTGTCTCTACTAAAAATAGAAACAAATTAATTGGACAACTGAAAATATATAGAAAAAATTAGCCAGGCATGGTGGTGCATGCCTGTAGTCCCAGCTACTTGGGAGGCTGAAGCAGGAGGATCGCTTGAGCCCAGGAGTTTGAGGTTGCTGTGAGCTAGGCTGACGCCATGGCACTCACTCTAGCCTGGGCAACAAAGTGAGACTCCATCTCAAAAAAAAAAAAAAAAATGTTCAGGGGGGTTGGGAGTTATTAGTAAATGGGAAGAGGAAACTCATCCTGCTGCTTCCTTATTAGCTGAATATCTTGGCTCCAAATGCCTTCCTCAGAGAAGTGACTTCTTCAATAACTTCCTCTAAAGACCTACCCTTGCAGAGAGCAGACAGGAAGAGAGGTCAGGATCAGCTGATGGTTCAATATTCTCTCCAAAACCAGGTTCGTGACCCGGAGACTGCAGTAAAGGAATTAGAAGCTCTTTTGGGTTTTACATTGAGAGCGAGTATTCCAAACACATGTCCTGTGAGAAAGACAATGGAAATTCCAAAAAAGTCATTGGAGAAATACCTCAAAGACTTAGTGGGGATCCAAACCACAGGTATGTGAATTTTGGTATTTTGGTAACTCTCCCCAAGGCTGGGCTTTCAGTCTGGTTCTCACTTTCAAACCTTGATGGAATGTGCTAGAGACAAAGAGGCAGTGCAATGGAGAAAACAGCCATTGGGCCTGGTGAACCTGAGTGCTGTTTTCAGGGGTTTTTTTGTTTTTTTTTTTGAAACAGAGTCTCGCTCTGTTGCCCAGGTTATAGTGCCATGGTATCAGCCTAGCTCACAGCAACCTCAAACTCCTGGGCTTAGAGCCAATCCCTACCTCCATCTTCAGCTCCTAGATAGCTGAGATACACCGTGCAACACCATGCCCGGCTAATTTTTTCTGTAAATTTTTAGTTGTCCAGCTAATTTCTTTCTATTTTTAGTAGAGATGGGGTCTTGCTCTTGCTCTTGCTCAGGCTGGTCTGGAACTCCTGAGCTCAATCGATCCTCCCACCTCAGCCTCCCAGAGTGCTAGGATTATAGACTTGAGCCACCGTGCCCGGCCTGTTTTCAGTTTTGCTTGGGAAAAAGCATTAACTTCCTTTTTCATGGATCCCCCCAGTGCACTTGTGCCCCTCCACCTGAGAGTGTGCTAGGGCAGCACACTTTTTGTGTGCTTTTGAGGAGGAGAGGAACTTGGGGACTGCAGTGTGTGCTCAAGGGCATTTGAGAGTTTCTGGTTTTTAGAGAGGACAGCCTGTTTTGTGAAAGTGACTTGAAAGTTGTGTGATTTTAAATGTGACAAAATGTCACCATCTCTCAGAGAGAAGTTCCCTCTCTCATTCTCCGCATTCCACTTTTAGAAAAATAGGTGCCTTGTGAGCTTTTTTTTTTTTTTCCCTGAGACAGAGTCTCCCTTTGTTGCCCAGGCTAGAGTGAGTGCCATGGTGTCAGCCTAGCTCACAGCAACCTCAATCTCCTGGGCTCAAGCAATCCTGCTGCCTCAGCCTCCCTAGTAGCTGGGACTACAGGCATGCGCCACCATGCCCGGCTAATTTTTCTATATATGTTAGTTGGCCAATTAATTTCTTTCTATTTTTAGTAGAGATGGGGTCTTGCTCAGGCTGGTTTCGAACTCCGGACCTCGAGCAATCCGCCCGCCTGGGCCTCCCAGAGTGCCAGGATTACAGGCTTGAGCCACCGCGCCCGGCCTGAGCTTTTAAAGAGATTTATAGCAGATGATTAAGTTTTATCTTACCCACTTGGTCCTTGAAAAAGGCTTTTATTGATGGAGTTTCACCTTACGATGTTTTCTGGTGATTGGATTCTTTGGTAGTGTCTCTGCAAAGCTGAGGGGCCCCTTCTGACCAGGCTGACAGACTCAGGCAGTCCCTTTGCTCTCCTGCTCTTCTGACCGAGTGAAATGAATCTACGTCCAGAGTTTAGTCTGATGAAGCTGAGGGTCAATGGAGTTCACCTCACCAAGGAGCCTGCAAGAGAGCCACAGAATCCGGCCTGGTGGAGTGGGAAATGGCTCCCACGGAAGCAGCTTTGGCTTGAGCCAGAGGCCTCTGCATAGCTCCTTTTGGCTGTCACGTCAGTGTCAGGCTGAGGGACATACAAGGGCACTTTTCATCTTCAGGCTTAAAGCATTCCATTTGGCAAGATGGGTTGCCATGACTGTGCTTGTGGTTGATAAACAGAATAAAAATGGTTTTGGTCATGGAGCAGGAGCTGGCAAGAAGGGTAAAATCGGACACCCGCACAAAGTGAGAAAATTACCATGGTGTAAAGCCAGTAGCCTTTGCCAAACTGTAATGGCATGTGATTCTGGACCCGAGCTGGCAGGTGCGGCTGGGACTCTATCACTCCTGGTACCCAGGGAGGAGGTACCTTCCTTGCTCTGCATACCAGATAAGGATATTTTTCATCCCTAGTGTAGGACTCATTAGAAAGAAAGAATGTCCAGATCTGTCCTCTGGATCCAGTTTGAGTTTTTGATGTTTGCAAATTTGCAGGCCTGTTGGAACTCCTACAGTTTGATCACGGGCAGTCAAATCCAACTTACTATGTCAGACTGGCCAATCACCAGCTGGTTCTGAGGAAGAAACCTCCAGGGACGCTCCTTCCATCTGCCCACGCAGTGGAGAGGGAGTTCAGGTAAGTTCTCACGGCGCAGGGCACTTGCCCACCTGGCCTCCATGTTGCACACACTCAGCCCTTAGCTGAAAAGTCAGCATTCCATAAAAGTGCCCTGACACGTTTAAAACTGCAATTGGAATCTCTCGGTTATTTCAAATGAAAACACACAACCTGATTTCTTTCTTTTATTTCTTTTTTTGAGACAGAGTCTTGCTTTGTCGCCCAGGCTAGAGTGAGTGCTGTGGCATCAGCCTAGCTCACAGCAACCTCAAACTCCTGGGCTCAAGTGATCCTCTGCCTCAGCCTCCCGAGTAGCTGGGACTACAGGCATGCGCCACCATGCTCAGCTAATTTTTTCTATATATATTAGTTTGCCAATTAATTTCTTTCTATTTATGGTAGAGACAGGGTCTCGCTCTTGCTCAGGCTGGTTTTAAACTCCTGACCTCGAACAATCCACCCACCCTGGCCTCCCAGAGTGCTAGGATTACAGGCGTGAGCCACCGCGCCTGGCCACAACCTAATTTCATTCAGAAGTTTGGCTTCTCTTTTCTATTCCTAAACCTACAGGAGACTAGATTTTTTTTGGCACTTCTAGATGAAAAAAGGCATTATTGAGATGCTCTTTAGTCTTAAAAACTTTCTAGTAAAGATTAAAATCTTTAGGACCTTTAGTCTTAAAATCAATATATTAGTGGGGCTACATGTGGCCATGAGTGGATAATCATTGAAGCTGGATGACAGGTAATGGGGTTAACTATACACATCTCTCTACCTTTATATGTGTTTGAAATTTTCTATACTAAAATATTTAAAAGAATAAATGTATTATAACCCGTCCCAAGTAAGATAGTTTGTTTTGCAAATAGGAAAATTTAAACATAGAACATAGGAAAAAACTTCACTCCAAATCCCTTGGCAGGTGGGCCACAAAGCCACAAAAGAGCTCTGGAGTGGGGCTCACTATCCTGGGAGATTTGCCCTGCTTTCTTCTTATTTCAGCTTCTTACGCTCTGCAAAAGGAGAGTTGCAGAGAGTAATAAGGAAAATGGGATTTCACCTCCCAGCCCCTCCTCGTTCTTGTTGTTTACTGTCTCTCCTCTTGACCCTTTGGTTCTTACACTCTGCCTTATCCAGGTGTCCTAGGGACTTCTGACTGATAATTATGAAGCCTTAGGGATTGCTCACAGGAGAAAACCTACAGCTATTTCTGGGCACTTACTATGTGCCCATGTAAGAGCAGATGTGTATTTGTGGAAAGAGAGACCCTAAAACTGTAAAACCACCACTCTGTTTTCTATACATCATGCTTGGGATTTCTTTCTACCCATTCCCAGAAGTACCAAGGAATTCTGGAGTGCTAGAATGATATTCAAAAAATCCAGGAATGCACATCTCTACAAAAAATTAAAAAATTAGCCAGGTGTTGTGGCATACACCTGTTGTCCCAGCTACTCAGGAGGCTGAGGTCGGAGGATCACTTGATCACAGGAGTTTGAGGCTGTCATGAGCTATGACCACTGTACTCCATTCTGGGTGACAGCAAGACCCTGTCTCTTAAAAAAAAAAAAAAAAGATTTCTTCCTTGAATGTTTCATAGAATTCACCACTAAAATTATCTGTGCCAGGAATTTTCTTTAGGAGAAGGTTTTTTATTATGAATTAAGTTTAATAAATACAGGGTTACTCAGATATTTTATTTCATCTTATTTTAGTTTTGATAAGTTGGAATTGCTAAGGAATTTTTCCATTTCACCTAAGCTGTCGAATTTATTATTCATCATATTACCTTATTATCCTTTTTTTTTTTTTTAAGATAGGTTCTCGTTCTGTTGTCCATGTTAGAGAGCAGTGGGCTCAGGTGATCTTCCAGCTTCAGCCTAGCCTGCCCTTGTTGGTAAGACAGTTGTGATGTGTCATAGAGTTGTGGCCGGCCACGGGCGCGCCCGCTGGGAGCTGCGCCTGGGCCTACCTTGAATCCCTAGCCGCATCCTGGCATCGAGGAGGCGAAGGGCTCCAGGGGGGGAAGGTGTGCGATCACAGAGTCAGAGAGATGTGAAACAGCGCAAACATGACCGCTGAGCATAATGATCTGCAAGATGGCAGACCCATGTCGTGGTGTCTACTATACTACTAAATAGAAAGAAATTAATTCTGGCCCAACTAATACGTTATATAGAGAAAAGAATTGCCTGGCCAGTGGGAAACATCTGGTGTGCGCCAAGAGATGCCTGTAGGAGTTGCGCCCAGGTTGACAACTGCGTGTTCTGTGAAAGATGATGTTGTGTCTGAAGCGCAGGAGGATGTGGGAGAGGATCGCTTGAGCCCAGGGAGTTTTGGAGTTGCGTGAGCTTAGTGCTGAATGCGCCTACAGGTCTTTCTAAAACCACTCATTTCCTTTTATGTTCTGGGCAGCTTCGCAAGGCACTACAGCTTGGAGAGACTGTCGCATGTCTCAAAGACAAAAACATAGGGTAAAAATAAATCAAAGAGTAG